ACTCTTAAGTAGCGTGGATGCGGGGTCTGGACCTCGGGTGCTGAAGTCCTGTACCGTCCACATCTCGATGTGAATGAGGGCCCAGATTGGCCAGAAACTGTATTCCTCCCGCCCTGAATGTTGTTTGGGTACCTGTACACAACAAGTGAATGTATCCAACCATAGGCCTGGGTGCGGTACCTTCGACTCTACAGTTGACTTTGACTGTTGAATTTCCTTTGTGTCGCGTTCGGTCACACAGCCTCCTCGACAGACTCAGACTGGGCATGTCTCGGTCACATAGCCCAGCACAGACAACCGAGTCTGTGTTTTTACCGGGGGTGAAGTTCTGAGCCCCGGTCTGCTGCTGAACAGGGTTACTGCACTATGCCTGAAACTGCCAAAACTGAATACGTCATCAGTCTGTCCAGGGATAACTAGGTACGCGATTTTGGTTTGCCAAAGTCCATAATCAGTGATAGAGATGTCCGCTTTACCAGCGAACTATGGCAATCAACAGAAGAATAAATGGGCACAAAGCTCCAAATGACGTCTGGGAATCACCCTGAGTCAAATGGCCAGGCAGAACAGATGAACTGGGTAGTGAAGCATCTGCTTCGACATTATATTAAGCCAAGTCAGGATGACCGGGACGAGAAGTTACCTCTCGTCGCTAGCCTGTACAACAATGTTGTGCACAGTACTACTGGGATGACTCCCAACCAGCAGCATCTTGGTTGGAAGCCCAGAACTGCACTTGACTTTCTGCTACCAGAAAGGCAACCCACTGCAGCACCTGGCAGCATAGAATTTGCTGCCAAGTATGAACAGATGCTGCAACAGTGTAGCGGACCCACCAGGTGTGGTGCTCCGCTAGTGGTAGAGATGGAGATGGAGGAAGAAGGGGGGGGCGAGATGGCACTACGCAGCTCCCCATGCAAGACTCCAGCGCACGTACTCCAAATGTGCAAGTGAAGAATGAGCTCGAAAACAGACAAAGGCTGGGGTATACCCCAGCGGWCTGACGGGACTGGACTGGACTGGCTGGTACCGACAGAGGTACCGGCCTGGACTGGACTGCCCCGAATAAAACACAGGCCGGTGAAAACAAGCCAAGGGGCTGGTCTCACAGGCCCACCGGAGGTCCGCTACACGATCCTCGGCCTGTGATGGATCGCCTACATACAAGCACGCTTCCGCCAAAAAGCGGAACTCTACCAAAGAAAAGAAATCTGAGTAGTCTAGGATGCGGAGCAAGCTCCATGTTGAGTCCATGCGATGCAACCTAGGATATAAAATGTCACAAAACAACAATGTCACAGCTAACAGCCTAAGTAAAAGCAAAAACAACTAACTAGCATACATGTCCTAGGAAAGCAAAAGCAACTAACTAGCATACATATCCTAGGAAAGCAGAAAGTAGTGACAACTAGATCCTAGAATGTTGGAGGCAGTAGCCTCAGTTAGGGAACAACTGACTAGTGTATAAGTCCTAAGAAAAACAAAAGCAGAACAACTAAATCCTAGAAATGTCAGAGGCAGTAGCCTCAGTATGAGAGCAACAAAGCAACAACAAGTCAATCATATGTCACATGAGAAGTGTGTCGCAAACCAAAGGGTGGGATGGTCTCTGAGGGTCGCGAATGCAGCCTAGGGGTCGAAAACTCCTAAGGGCATCCACACATAGATAACAGGGAGACACATGTCATCAGGCTCAATGAGGGTAGGGAACTGAGAGCGAACAGAACCAATGACCCTAACAGATAGACCATCAGGGCGGGTAATGCTCGACTAAGGGGTGACCGCTATGGAGGGTCGACCATGGGAATAAGGGAGCCTGGTATACTGGGCGCACCTAGATGAAGCATGCGGGGCTGCCTAACTAGGGCGTGAGGGCTGGCGAAGGGTAGTCGGAGCTAGATCCGTAAGATGGGAAGCTAGGGCAACGCTACGGTCCCGATGCCTATGCGTATACCAAGGGAGAGCCCAACTCAGAGGAACCCGGCTAAAGGGAGACCATCATGCGACACAAGCAGGGTACTGTACAGGGTAGAGTGGTAAGAGAGTGGCGACGTCTGAAGTAGGCAGAGCTGATCGTGATGAAGTCCATGAAGCTGCCGATGACGTCCACGATGAGAAGTCCGGAATGCCGTCGAGGAAGAGCCGCAGTCAATCGTCGTATCGAGCAGGACGACGACGAGTGCGCTGTGGACGCTCAGAAGCATCCGGCTGCTGCTGAAGGGCTGCCTCAGATGGCGCAGGCTCGACTTCAGCGGTCTCCTCAGCCGGAGGAGAAGGAGGAGGGTCAGTGGGCTGAGGAGGAGCAGTGAACCTAGCACGACGAGCACGGTCATAGGCACGCACCAACATGCGAGCGTGCTGCAAGTGCTCGAGGGGCTCCCAGGTAGCCTCCTCATCAGGGTAACCCTTCCAACGTACGAGATACTCGACGTGGGGAGGGTTGTTGTCGGTGACTCAGCGACCAATGATGTCGGAAACAAGGAACTCCTCGTGACCGTCCACCATGATGGGTGGAGGGCGCTCGTATGGTCGTCCAGCAAAACGCTCAGACCGTCTGCGGTAAGGACGCACTAACGAGACGTGGTAGACATCGTGCACGCGAGCCTGGCGTAGGTAATCGGGCAGCTTCACACGGAAGTTGACCAGCCTGAAATGCCGTATCAGAACCGACGGCCTGGAGGATGCGGCATGGGCCAAAGAAGCGACGCCGAAACTTGCGAAGCGTGTCCGCTTCGAGCTGTAAGTGGCGGGCGTCGATAAGCACATCATCACCGACTTTGAATGGATGATCCATCCTCGATCGGTTCGCACGTGCTGCCATGCGAGTCTGGGAAGCAGCTATACGCTCATGTGCGGTCTTCATGATCGACGTGATGTGTGCAACCCAATCATCCAGCGCGGGACAACTCGTGTTGGGGTGCAGCTGGGACGGTCGAAGGAAGTCCGCGGGAACACGAGGGTGATAGCCGAGGTCGCAATAGTAAGGCGACATCCCTGTGGCTGGCGAGACGGCGTGGTTGTAGGCTATCTCCGCGTGGGTAAGATGGTCGTCACGAACAATCTTTCGAAGAATATCTCTGAGAGTCCTGTTGGTGATCTCGGTCTGACCATCGGTCTGAGGATGGTAAGCCGAGGAGAAGCGGAGCTGAGTGCCGTATACCTCGTGGAGCCGTCGCCAGAATCGGCTGGTAAAGCGCGGGTCACGGTCAGATATGATGCTCAGAGGTAACCCGTGGTCACGCACGACTCAGTCAAACACGATGTTGGCGACCTCACGTGCACTGATGGCATAGCAGCACGGAACAAAGCGTGCACGCTTCGTGAAGCGGTCGACGACGACCATGATAGCATCATGACCGCGAGGGGTCGGAGGACGAAGAGGACCGATAAAGTYCATCGAGATGGACTGCCAACGACCCTCAGGGATAGGAAGAGGCTGGAGCAAACCATAAGGCAGGTGGTTCGCACTGTTCACCTCCTGACAGGTGGGACACTCTGCGACGTAGTCCTTCACAAAGTCCTTGCGCTTCG